ACGTATTTATGTATGCATACAAGAGTTCTATTCAAAATCAGGATTAATAACTTTCTAGAAATATATTTTTTGAACATTGCNCATAATGTGATGAAATCATTAAAATGCGTAGGAAAGTTTCATCTGAAGAAAATATGTACTTTTCTTTAAAAAAGAAAGACCACCAGAAAATTTACGCCACCTTGTGCTCGGTTCGATTAATGGTTGAATCAATTTCATATTATATTCCCACTGTATATTTTAATTCGTTGCCACTGCGAACATGCAGACATTCATAACGATAAAAATTATACTCAGACTCCTCTGAAGAAATTAGGCACAGCTAACGGCAGGCCGAAGAGACTACATAGATGATCTCTTAAAATCAGCTTATTTAAGTGCTAAAGAGTCTTCAGCAAGTTCCGAAATGCAGTCAGACCACTTATCCTCATTCCAGCGCATTACGAGATTCTTAAATTAAGCCGTTACCATACATAGAATCAGCCTTATTGAATTCATCAAACAAAACAACCACATTGTGGTTGATGCTGCGTAACTCTGCCAAATGACATATTGAAGCCAGTAAGATGAATAATATATGTAGAGCAGCAGATCAGAGAAGTTGATGTTACACGTCAAACACATTCTAGAGTCTAAACGTAGCTAGCTATAGACACAGCAAAGGGTCTATGATCTGAGCAATGTATGAAAACATGCGTCGTGAAAAGCGAAAATCGTTGTTTTACGAATTTAGTCACAATAAACTTGCATATTATATAGTATAATATAGTCGTTCGCATATAGCAAGGATGCTTCGAGAAAACACGCCTGCAAACTAAATGTTTTTCCACACGTACGCTTCACTACACATAGGGTTGTAAGATCGAATAAGTTTAGCTGAGAGTTTATTTGCATGCGGTAGATTGGTTCTCGGCCACGCAGCCGTACTATATAGAGGCAATGGCTGGTATCGCTGATGCTGCTGGGAGATGAGGTGCGATGGCGGTGGTTACGAGGGAGCATTTTAGGCGACCAAAAATTGCTTAGCAGCAAAATGAACTGGGAAAGTAGAAACAATATTAAACCAAAAGAAAGATGATTAATACACTTATTCGATGGTCAGCAAATGGAACAATTCTATTGCGAGAAAATACCGTGCAGCGGTCATAGTAATGGATCGCGATGCAATAGATATATTATTTAATGTTAGTTACGTGTATTTCTGGTTTAGGTTATGAGTCAACTCTTATAGGTTACCTAATTTAAACACGCCATGTACGCTGTCATCATCTTGTGATCCATGACAGATGTACGTTGGTATTTGCTCTGTTTATTTTTTTTTATTATCTTCGATTCAGCGGCGGCTTCTCTTGGTGATCGTGTATGTTATTATTTATTATTATATGTGCTCGTGAAGGTTATATCTATCTATTATTTGTCAGTGTTTTGTTTTTTAGTTATATCTTGATTTATTAGCGTCAGATTGTTACTAGTCCTACATTTGTATTTATTTGTATATTTGCAGAAAGGCTTCGACGTTATAATCCGAAGTGTCACTCCGAATTTATTGTTTGAAATAAAACTTGAAAGTAATAATCCAAAACCCAGTCAAGACAAGTGCATTAAGTGATTTGGGGATAAGAGAACATATGGTTTATGTTTGTATATGAATTTTATTCATAATCGTCATTTTTATTTTATCACGACAATGCGTCTTTTCTTGCAATAATTGAATTGTTTGCAGAGTAATTGTTCGAATGGGCCCTGACATAGCGAACAATACGTTCAAAATTTTTATACTTAACAACTAATATGTTCATTAATTATTGGATTTGTCACATTTACATTATCAGAAGCTATTGTTTCATTAGAATGAATAGTTAAAATTAACTCTGCTCACCAATTCGTCACGAATGCAGCGGGCCAAATAGTTTTTATTGCTCAATCTTAACTGCAAAACAACTTTATGACATTCAGGCTATGTTTAGCGTCCACTAACTAAAATCAGCGAGTGAAGAAACTCACAAAATTTAGGAAATAACATTGTAGTATAAATAGAAACGCAAGGTAGCAGAGCATGCATTTGGCACACATTAGGAGATTTCTCCCTGTGCTGTTTTGAGGACAGTTTCCTGCTTGCTTCATAACATGGATTTTCTTGAGAACTGGAGTAGCGTCACCCTCTGCACTCCCTTTTTGGTGCCTAAAAATTCAACTTGTATCCTATTCTTGGTAACTTTAGCATAAGGTATAAGCGCATCTCCAATAGAATTCTCAACTCTTCTCCCTGAACTCGTAAGTGAAAATTAGAAACACTCAAAATAATTAATGCCTCTGAATAGGATAAACGAAATCTTCGATTTAAAACACATGATACGCGCGTATCCAGTGTTAAAAAATTTTTTCAGGCCGTTCTGTATTGGATTTCGATAGATGGCATTGATTCTAAGGGACATAAATGAATGGTTTGATTACCGAAAGAGTGTATAATCAACATGAATTTTGGATTTTTTTGTAAACCACTCAATTAAGTTTTGTTACGAACAGAAATGACCGATTAATAAATGTATGAAATTCCATCTACTACAACACAAACAATAAATAATTTGGTTTTAAGACCTTTAAAACCAAATTATCGTAGCGAAAATTCCGAAAAAAAAATCTTTTTAGTCAATACTACCAGCGGTTATTAACGCACACGCGTAGATAATGAAGACTCACAGGTACAGCAGAGTTAATGTTCATATTAAGCTTCATTTTACGCTGTCACAAGTCAAATTACGCAGCCCTGGCAACAGCAATAAATCCTACATTTGGTGACACGATGTTTTTTATGCAAGATTGCCACAAACATCTTGGGCGTAAGTAAGCAATTAGTGGAGAAATTGCGTATCGAAAGGTAACCAACGTCTTAAGTTTTTTCAAATAAAATTGAGAAACATCGGAAATTATAAGTTTGTATCTGAGACTACACGAATTTATTGATGAAAAAAATTGCATACAATTTGCAAATTATTTAAGGCTTTCAGTAAATAAAAACAGAATTTGATTTGAGATAGTAAGAAAATCATGAGGATGGGAAACATATTTTATTTATTTTAACACGCTCACAACTTGACGGTTTTTTTTATCCAGGACCAGAAAAATTAGTTAACAATCTTGAATAGCTGAATGCATTATGTTAAAGAACTGCCCACCAATCTCACCCGAAGGTGACAAAGTGCAAACAGAAGATTTTTTCAATCACTATTCATTGATGAAAAATGTATCAAAAAATCAGATTAATCATATTTTACTAGAAACTGAATTATTAATGGTTTAATAAGTTCACGGCATTCATAACACGATAACTTACACAGCCATTACGGAGGCAGTAAGAGATTACAATATTTATTTACATAATACACTAGTGATTAAATACCCAGCATACGTCAGTCTTTTATCTCCTAAGCCCAGAAAAAAAATTCGACCAGCTAAACCTAAAGATATTTTGCAACGAATGAATAACTAATTTCAGGGCTGGAGGTCACATTAAATAGAACCTTTTTTATATAGGAAGTAAAAAACATAAAAGTCTTCACCACCACGTAACGGCGTCCGTTAATTACCAGCCAGATTGAGACTTAACGCCATTATTTCAGAGCTGTCCAACTATTACAATATTTCAGGCAGGAAAAGTTACACGTGTAGATGGTGCTGTACTGCTAATTAAGTTAGCGTTAGAACATGTAAGCATTGAAGCACTCGCCAAGATCTCCTGATAAGGCAGGGAGGCAAGTCAGACGCAGCTGTACGGTAAATGTTAATGCAAGTCATTTGAACGACTGTGCGAACTGACAGTGAAGCGATTCCGTGTTAAATGAATGGTAATTCGGGATCACGATGATATATGGCATTGAATATACACAATAATTAGATTTATTTCCTTGATGATGTATGAAAGAAGTACCCCAATTTACAGGAGTTATTGCAAATTGTTAGAAAAGATTAAATCTATTGAAATTTTAAATTTCGGTTACATACTTATTAAAATTATTGAAGACCAGAATTTTCTAAATGCGATCTTCAATAAACAAACAGAACCTACGATCAAATGTATATTCATATTTTCGATAAAAACGTCACGTTACAGTTTGAATAATACTGAAGAAGTAAGAAGCAGTGCAATGTACTCAGCAATTGGCCAGTTAACATGAAATGAAAGACAACAGATTTTTTTGTTTCATTTCGCGTCTTCTGGACATGGCTTGTGCCTCGCCTGCGCCACGAAACCAGGAATCGTCCCATTGGACCAACGTCAGCTGGAGACGCAGTCGAATTACTTCTAACAAACCTCATCAACAGGAATAAAATTGTTAATCTTTTTACGGATATTTGTGGATTTGTTGAAGCGATCTCTTCCATTTTTCAGAATGTTCGCTTGGTTCCATGGATGTTCGCTTCAACCATCCTTCGTTTCCTCGATGATTTTTAAGAGCGTCAATTTGTTTAAATGGCTACATATTTGTATAAACCACATGAATGTTAAGATTTAAACCATTATAATTCTAACACAAACCTCATCAACAGGAATAAAATTGTTAATATTTTTACGGATACTGCGTGAAATGGAGTACACGGAATCACTATGATGTATGGAGTACACGGAATGCAGTATATGATTTTGCAGAAACCCTGGAAGAGGTTGCAAACAACCGTAAAAGATACAAACGCTCGAATCGTCCCATGTTAGAAATTACAAATCGTTGACACATACTATACAGATTTCGAACATTCTAATAATATACAATAAAAAATCTTGACAATATTTGGTGAAGATGTATGGATAATTGAACATGTGACATAACATTTTTATTTACATACACCACCATGCAGTACTTCCGTACATGTCTGGCATGCCTACCTGAACGTAACAAAAGTAATTATTTCATAACGCCATCCCGCAATTGCGACAAGTTTAATAGAATAAGACCATAAACGAATAAATGGAATGTCTGAACGTGAATGAATGCTTTACTCACCTCAGTAAATTTGAGATCAGTGTTTCCCTTGCTCAAGTTTCGTTGCGTTTCCTGCGCCGCCTGTTTCAAACACTAATCACAAATATAGTTCTTCGAAACTTTTAACTTATTTTCTTAGCATTAATTAGAACCTGCAAAGAAAATTACAATGTTTATTGGGTCAATTGGATCAACGGCTTCTCAGAACTCCCTAAGAAATGTTTTATTCAATTCTGAAATTTTTATTGTAAATTCACTAGCTTGCGACTACAGTTGTGATTTTCTATAATTCAGCATCACAAGCTAGCTACTGTATGAAATTACTTAGTTTGCTTTTCGGTAGGTTGAACACAACTAATTGTAGAATTTGTGTTGTTTTCAAAATACGCAGAAGCATCCGCTTTAAAAATGGTTTGCGTTTCTGTATTACGTCCAAAGAATGGTATAAGCTGATTTTTATTAAATATTTTCTGTAAAAACAACAAGGTTTGAACAATCAGTCTTAGGCGGCAAGGCTCCAGTGATGCTCCACGGACACCAAGCTCTGTACATCCTTCCTTCTCGACCACCTCTGCAGGACTGAGGAGCCTCATGACTCAGGGCTCCCCCAGACTCCCTGCACAGTGAGACCTCCTACAGACCAAGGCATGGTCATGACTAGTCATCCTGAACTATGTTATTATAGACGAATCTAACAGTCCAGCTTATACTTTCAGAAAAAGTTAAGAGATCGTAAGTTCATCAGCCAATCACTGATGGCCATTCAAGCAAAATCCACCAATCAAGGACAAGAAAATGGATCGTAAGTATAACCTACGCTCTATTGCTGAATTTTGCTTGAAAGGCCGTCAGTGATTGGCTGATGAACTTACGATCTCTCAACTTTTATTTTGCATGAAAAGGTTGTGGTGTTAACTTTAGGAATATAACTGTCATGATTAAGATTATTCATGAGTAGGAAGTGTTAATGAATAGAGCTAACTACCGTGTAGGTTTAAATTCGGCGTGGTGAGGTTATGGAACAAAATCTGGCATTCATGTTGAAAACATGAACACATACACATAAAATCTGCTAGCAAACAAACTATTGGTGATAATTTCCTGTTCATAAAATAATAGTGTTGAAGTTTATATTGAGATATTCTGAAATAAATTCATTTCTATTCTCCATGTTATCGCTTCAATGATTCCTTTTATCTAGAAGTACACGCACTCCAAATGTGTTAAATCGTAAACAAATTTAGGGTTATCATACGTAGAGTTCATTCACTTACTGGAGACCAGAAAAATCTTCAAATCTTTAACGCGAAAGACCTTCACAGGTGGCGGTCGATATTATAATTCAAGTACGGATAAAAGTCTCACTATAAAGAGGTAGCTTGATGAGAAACATTGGTGAGAACGTACAAATTATTTCAAGAGAAATCGTTAACTCTATTTTTTCTTTCACAAAAAAATGTCGCGGAAATCATACAACAGCAAACAAAAATTGAAGAATTAAAATTGTATATCTTCCTATATGGCTGAAACTTTGGCTGAACATTGCTGAAACATTCAATACCTTCAAGCCCACATTCACATTACTCCTCATCCAATGCATTTGAGGGAAAATCAAACAAATGTTTGTCAGAATTCAGAATCAGATTGAGAAAATTTTCAGCCAATTTAGCACAATACCTCCGAAGATGTGCTGCTATTAGTGGGCTTGAAAAGAATTAATACGAAGAAAAAATATTAACTTTGCGCGCCGAGTTATTACACTCGAAATAGTACCGGCCTGGGCTGATTTGCACACGCCCAATGGTCGAATAGTTGAGAAGATGACACCCACATATGTGAGAAACTTGGCCGAAGTTGAACACTTCACAATGTTAATACGATTCTGCTCTAATTGACAGTTCCCAGAAATTGAATATTGTACAAAAAAAAACAGTTTCTTATTGAAAATTAGCTAAATGTTCATGATAAATTTCATATTTCGGTTTAATTTCAGTCAGGAGTATTTCTGATAAAATTCTCAGAATTTTATCGCACCTCTTCTGGGCTTATGTATGTATATGCATGGGGGCAACAGTGATAATGATTGTTTATGGTGCAAGGTAGGTAGGTACACTACCCATGGTTGGACTATATGAGGTTGATCCACGAGGATTTTAGTCATTTAGTTCAGCTTTCTTGTTATGTCACTGAGATCGAGAAACATAAACAATCCCATGACGGATTGTTGATCGCATTTCGGTGATTGGTTAATACCCGTGACGTCACTGCGATCAGTGACGTCACAGGCGAACAACAAACTTCATGATCCGCAAAAATGAGCTTCTCATGGGTCAACCTTATACTAGTTCAACCATGCACTAACATACTTCAACGTAATCTATTGTCACCTTTTGTTAAATATTAATTGAAATGTATATCCGGGTTCCAGCGAGGTCACTAATTGTCCTTAGACCTTCACCGAAGATTCAGTATCGGTTACAGTTTTCAAAATATTGACAAAGAAATTATAAAAAATAATTGCAAGCTGAAAGAAATAACAAATATTTTCCTATTGTACGAATGTTTACAACACTTGTATAGGCGCTACTAACGTGAACATTTTTTTTCGTACGCTAGACAAAGTGCACCAACAATCATTAACAAGATTATTATTTACTATTAAACAGTGATAGAGAACAGCTAGCCACAATGAGTTCTGAGACACCATAGTGAATATGCTGAATGTTTTTTTTACATATTATGTACCAGTACAAAATACTCTAATTACCTACGAATGGAATTTCATACATGCAGTTCACCAGTCTTAACAGCGATCCTATGCCAAATTCAAATTACATTCCACTTCGACTGGCGGAACGACTATCGAAAACGACATCCTTCCCAGCCTGCCACTACGAGAATTTAAGCTCTCCTCGTTTCAGGAATGTTGTTGAGGAAGAACAGCGCATCATTGATAATTTCATTTGTCAAATTAAACTGCATGCTAACTGCAAGACTGGCTGGTTCCTGCAGGCTCAGGGCCCGTACGTGAGCATAAAGATGCGTTAGACAATTAGTGAAATTTTTTATGTTCCTATGTGTGTTGGAATTGCATCTGCAGCTTGTGAAGCATCCCGGGACAAATAGAACTAATAAATAATTTGGTCAATAATATGACGAGCAGAAGGTTTAACTGTTCGTTCATACTTGATGTAATAAATTCTGAACGCAGCCTAACTTTTCAGAGGAAGAAAAACATTAAATTTTTACTAAACATAAATAAGGAGAAAACTTCTGGCAAAAATTCATTTTATTTAAGCTGAACTGTAGTCTTCAAAACTATTGTTCACATAAAATCTTGTGACAGAAAATGAATAGGCCAGAATTTCGGCCTAGAGGAACTCTTCTGAATGGGAGCAAGAACTTTATCTCACCAAGATAATCCAGACATGTATACATTTATGGAAACCTCTATACGACCATAATGTTTTTTACAACTATCTTTTATTGCATAAAGAAATACGGGATTCTAAGTAAGTAAGAAGTATAATATGCTTTGCTAGCGCTTCAGCTACCAAGCTATTTCGCACCGGAGGTCAAAATGCAACCGCCAGCTAGATGGAAGGTTTCAGTTATTTAAAATTTCAAATTAACCATCACCCACAAGGGGCGGAAGGTCTCAGATGTCCAGCCCGCTGAAGCTGGCTCGAAAGAAGCAGCGTTAGCATCTCAAAGAGACGAAGTGACAAGGAGGGACAGGTGAAAAGCAACAGAAACGAAGACACTCGAACAAAAAGTCGCTTACACGGGACGTCGGCCGCCCGCACGAGAGAGATAGTGAAGGGAAATGTAAGGAATCCTGCCTACATAATAACTTAATGTAAGAAATCCTACCTACATAATAACTTAATGTAAGGAATCCTACCTACATAATAACTTAATGTAAGAAATCCCACGTACATAATAACTTAACCCCACAATTGAGACCTGCAGTCAGACACCGCGAGCTCAGCTGTGGGGCGCTCAGGAAACTGGATTCTAATAAAACGAGGTTAAACTACGTTTAAGAACGGTTCCAACGCCAGACCTACAAAAACATTTTTTTAAATATATTGAAATAATAATGAAAATAACAAAAATATAACTCAGTACTCACTGCAATGAGTGACAGAGAGTGCATTTTCTCGTCGACGAAAACTTGAGGTCACGGACGGACGGACAGACAGACAGACGGACATGGCGAGCACAATAGTGCATTTTTTTCCATAAATGAGAAAATGCGCTAAAAAGATGAAAAGGTTCTTAGACCAAGAGGTGTTTTTTGGCCTTTTAGTATCTTTTTGCAGTATGTTTACGTTAAAAAGTACAGCAACATGAATAATATCTTGATTTTCGCCATTTAGGGTAACTCTGGTATACCTCTGGTGCAGTTCAGTGTCCTGATTTCAATTTTTCAAAGTAAAAAAGATGGCAAAGGGGACAAGACTCACAGAGGCCGAAAAGGCGCAGATTTCGGCCTTTGCAAAATGCACTAGAACCCAACGGGACATCGTAAAGGAAATAAAACGCTCAAAAACCGTTGCACAAAAATTTCTTGCTAATCTTAACGGCTACGGATCAAAAAAGCATCCAGGACCAAGCCCAAAGTTAACCGACAGGGATCTTATAGGCGACTGTTTTCAGAGGCTTCTAAAACTGCCTCTATACGAAAAATAGATATAGAGTTGAGTTTCCCTTTCAGCTAAACGCACCCAAAAACTATGACCGAACCACCACCAGATTGCCGCTTTGAAAAGAATTCAGGCTCACGGTTCATGTGGTGCCAATAACATTGCCATCCGTCTGGACCATCAGGATTGAACTTTTTTCATCACTGAAGACAATTTTGTCCCATCCCTCACAAACTAGCACATTTTTTTCAGCAAATTTTCATCGGTTGATAATCTGATTTCGTTTGAGCCTAGAGGCATTTTTCTGCTTCATGTATTACAATTTCACCGAGTCATGCAATATCTGATATCAACTCCAGTGGCCAATTTAATAGAAGTATATAGGAGGCGAGATTCCGAGGCATTCAAGCGCGCACACGCTATTTCACCATCTTAAAATGAGGACGACGAGAAAAATGAGGGATCTTATGGTTTCCAGCAAGACAAGGCTTCGATTCATTCCTCGAACTCAGCAAACAAGTGGTTCGTAGAGCAGAATATTACCCTTTGCCGTATTGCCGTCTTGACCTAACCCCATTGAAAATCTATGAGGCATCATATGGCGAGGGATGTTCATCAAAATGGGCGTCAGTACCAATCTGTAAGTGACCTGAGCACGGCTATCCTTCGTTCATAGGATAAAATTTCTTAAAAGACTCTGGATCATTTGGCAAATAGAATGGGAAATAGATGCATTGAGGTCATTAAGGCGATAGCAGGTCCGTGTAATCGAGTGTAAAAACGGATCCACAAACGGGTAAACCTATCTTGGTCTTGTAACCCTTTCCACAGTTTTTTTTAATATCCATCATTTCTTGTCATATATATAAAAAATATATTGTACGTATAGCGTTGGAATCTTTTTTAAACGTAG